CGTCCTCAAGGACAAGAAAAAAAGGAGGCCGCGAGGCTCCTGAAGACGAGGAGTGAGTAGCTCAATTCTCTCCTTTTGATCATATGTATGTGTCTCTCACCTTACCATTCTTGAGTGGACTATTTAACCTTTCCAGTTCAATTTGTGCTCTTCTGATCTTGCTCTGCATCTGTTTGTACTGTTTTCGTGAATACTCTTATCTCTTGTTCTCATCTACCCCTAAAAAGAGGTTTTTTATACAGGTTTTTTTATACAGGTTTTTTATAGCCGGCAGGTTTTTTATACAGTTTTTTTTATAGCCACCAGGTTTTTTATACAGGTGTTTATGAAGTATAGAAACTTCTAACCCTACACGACAATCAATGGAGGTTTAAAGTATAATTTAAATAAAATACATACTTCGTCCTCGTGTTTACTCAGGAGAATGAAGTTTAAGACACCACTGCAGCTGTACTTATGGTTGATAAATATGGTGGTAAAGACACACCTGGCAATATGGCGGTAAACACACGCCTGCCCACACACGCTCTCTAGGCTGCAAAGTTCTGGCACAGAGCTCTCCTTCTCACCACCACCACCACTCACCACCACCACTGATGGTGGTGGTGGTGAGAAGGAGAGCTCTGTGCCAGAACTTTGCAGCCTAGAGAGCGTGTGTGGGCAGGCGTGTGTTTACCGCCATATTGCCAGGTGTGTCTTTACCACCATATTTATCAACCATAAGTACAGCTGCAGTGGTGTCTTAAACTTCATTCTCCCGAGTCAAGCTCCGTATGAAGACATCCAAGAAGAAGATTGCCGGATGAGTCCAGCGGGGACGAAACGTACGTCGCAATCGAGCTATGTCGTTGCTGTGTCATCATCTACATGTATGTGCCATGCGCTACTTGATGTACCAGCCTGCTATGCCGGATACCGCCAGCCATGCATCGACCAGGCGCCAGGCGCGAACTGATGGTGGTGGTGGTAAGAAGGAGAGCTCTGTGCCAGAACTTTGCAGCCTAGAGAGCGTGTGTGGGCAGGCGTGTGTTTACCGCCATATTGCCAGGTGTGTCTTTACCACCATATTTATCAACCATAAGTACAGCTGCAGTGGTGTCTTAAACTTCATTCTCCCGAGTCAAGCTCCGTATGAAGACATCCAAGAAGAAGATTGCCGGATGAGTCCAGCGGGGACGAAACGTACGTCGCAATCGAGCTATGTCGTTGCTGTGTCATCATCTACATGTATGTGCCATGCGCTACTTGATGTACCAGCCTGCTATGCCGGATACCGCCAGCCATGCATCGACCAGGCGCCAGGCGCGAACTGATGGTGGTGGTGGTAAGAAGGAGAGCTCTGTGCCAGGACTTTGCAGCCTAGAGAGCGTGTGTGGGCCAGGCGTGTGTTTACCGCCATATTGCCAGGTGTGTCTTTACCACCATATTTATCAACCATCGTGTTTACTCGAATTATAAAAAACCTCCACAAAACCCTCGGCTTCGCCTCGGGTTTTGTGTCGGTTTTTTATTTCTCGTAAACACCTCGGACTCAGTATGTATTTTATAAGTATAACTCATAATCACAAGGTGATCGTAGAGGCATTAATCAGCGAGAGAATTGTGAATGATGTCTCTGAATCCAACTCTATCGTGTGCTGCATGAGAGAGAGCATGCAAGGGAAGACCCGTCCAACTTTTAATGTTAGAAATTAGGGCTCAAACGGTCACGGTTTTACCCCCAACGGTTAACTGCTAAGCTAACGGTCGGTTTAACGGTTATAACCTATAAGCCACGGCAATTCTGCGGACTCTTTTTTAACGGTATATTTAGCTAAACTTATTCAAAAAATGTACCCTATTCAGTACAACGCACACATGTATAATTGAGCCGGCGCAAGCGAAAAGGGACCTTATCCTGCTGCACGTGATTTTGAGAAAACCGCACTTGAAGTGAATCAGCTGATTCTCAGCTGTCACGTTCGGATCGAACTTGAAACTGTTCGTTTTTTGGCGATACGCGACTTCTTTGGAGCTCAGTCATTCTTTGTATTGGAGAGCCAGTATCCTACAGCTCCTGTAGAAGAAAACCCTGGCTAAATCGACCCACGTACCACCGATCGGCGATCAAAATCGATCGACCGTGACCAGGTGACACGTCGACACCTCCGCTGAATAAAATCGCACGCGCGAGCGGAAAGACAAAGAGTTGCTTTCACAGTTTCAGCGCAGTTGTCTTGCCGTCTTCGCTTTCTGCTAAGTCCTTTGGTCGGCGTAGCTGTTCACTATGAGCCATCGTAAATGTTTCACCGTGAACGAAGCTTTGAAATCTCTCCTGGAAGAGATGAGGCTGAAGTTTTTGGTGAGGAAGACGAGTCGGACGCCAGTGACGTTCGGTTCAACCTGACGACGGCGACACTTTCTTCAGCAGCGAGTGGATGTCGACGCAGCAGCAGAGCTGTATGTCGGAAAGGCAGAGCCCAAACCTCCGCAGGCTAGCTCCGCAGAAGCTTGTGAAGCGACTGTTGCGCCGGCAGAGGAGGACGACACTGTTCGTCAAAAAGAGAACTGCGGATGTTCAAAAAATTGCTTGCAGCAATTTGACCCAGCTGACATCGAGACGTCGATCCTGAACATGAGAGAAATGGAGTCGCACGAGAGTGAGCTGGTGGTCCTGGGCTTTCTTGAAGCTTTGAGTAATCCTGAAACAGTTTTTGAGAGTGGAGAGAAGCGCAAGAGGGAGCGTTTTACCTACAAATTCCAATGACTGACTGTTTGTGTGGGTGCGTTCCGTCACGTGTACGCACTGTCTAGCAAGAGGCTGAAACGGTACAGAAGCCACCTGGAGAAGAATGGGCTTGTGCCACTAGTGCACGGCAACACAGGCAAACGGCCACACAATGTCCTGGAGTTTGTTGTTGTGAAGTACTGCGTGGAGTACATCACTCGGCACGCGGAAGTGTTTGGAATTCCACATCCTGCGCCACTCCGTGGCAGAGACGACACGCCACCTATCTTCCTTCCAGCGTCACAAACGTACAAGTCCGTGCATGCAGACTTCTGCGACTGCTGCCACAAGGAGGGTAAGAAGTTTGTATCCTTGTCGACGTTCCGCTCCATCTGGCACCAGACATTGCCGCATATTAAGTTCATGACGGCTCGCATGGATGTTTGCCCGGTGTGCGAGGACTTGCGGCGCAACGTGATGGCGGCTGGGAGTGAGGAGCAGAAGACGACTGCATGCATCAGCTGACTGACCATGTTCAGCTGTTGAATACCACACCTGAGCAGGTGAGAGCAGCAGGCCTTCCCCAAGTATTGCCCCCAGCAGGTCTGTCACAAGAACGCCAGAAGTACCTGTTCAAGGATATCCGGCCGTTTGTGGCAGACCCTTACAAGGATGAGCTGTGTCCGCCTGTGCCGGAGGAATGACAAACTTGCGTAGTGCAACACACGTTTTGAGCCTGATGATTGCTAGAGTCTGGTGCTGTGTCAAAGCTTCATGCCTCAGAACATTCTATTATTCTTGTTGTTAGATCTAAAATGCGGCGTGCCTGCGTGGTACGGAAGGACGTGATGGCCCATCAGACGTCACGCTTGGCACTATAAATTCCATCACAGTGAAACTTATGCCAGCTGCCCAGTAGTGTGTGTATACTGTATCCTCCAGCCCTTCTGCTGGTGACTCGAAGGCTTCTGTAAGGCTTCTATGGCCAAATTATTGCAATTTACGCATTTCAAAGATTATTCGTGAATATGTGCGATGTTTTGGTGAAAACAGTGTTGATTTAAACGTCCGTAACTTTGCTATATGTTGATGGCTTTTCATTCGGTTTTTTTTATCTGATTCATACGTTCCCTGGCTACAAGAATCCGTTGCTAACTCAAAATGCCCAAAAAACGGATAAGGTCCCTTTTCGCTTGTGCTGGCTCAATTATTCTCTTGCATGCTCATTCATACATGCTCTCACACGAAGAGACCAGATCAGATATGACGGAGTTGACAGCCCAGAAATTGCGTACGCGTGTGACAGCCTGCGAAAGTGCATACTTTGCAACGACCTGATACTTGAAAAATTTACTGAAAAGTTACTGCGTAACCGTTATCTTTATCGGTTAACCTTTAATTCTTCGTAACCGGTCTGCAACCGGTTAATCGGACTAACCGTTTGAGTCCTATTAGAAATCCATGATGTCGCGGGCCTTCTTCTCGGTCGAGATCCAGGAGTTGATCCTTGCAGGAAGGGCTTGGAGAAGACGTCATGTCTGGTAACATGGCCAAACCACATCAACTTAAATTTCTTGACTTCGTTCGCTAGCCGCATCCTTGCTCCGATGATGTCATTGATTTCTTCCAGATGTACATTGTACATGTTTACTAAATCAAAAATGATAAGTCTGACTCTGAGTCAATGACCAAACCAAGGTCATGCCTGTGACGTTGCTTTACCAGTGCCACTGTGAGGAAGAGTGAATGCAGGGGTTGGCTCTGAGTTCGGCAGGAATAAGATCTCAGAGTTGGCTGAAACTTACTTGCGAAAGTTCCTCCAATACAACCAACAGTTGCGAAAAAAAGTGGGGAGCATCTTTAGTAAAATGTAACAGACAATAATATTATATTCTTACAATGATTATGTAGTATTGCAATCATACTGCGATTACTGGCCACATTCACAGTGTAGTAACAGCTGTGCCTGCTGTGCACCAGGTGCACGTGCCTCGCACAAGACACAGACAACTACAAGTCGGTACACCTGCAGAGTGCCGTGCATGTGTAGCATGCTGAGCGGTCTTTCCTTCCTTATTTTCTTGAAGTCGATACTGCAGCAGTGCAGGATCCTCACTCCCCTCAGTCCTGTCATGTAGATCTACATCAAGAGGAGTAATCGAGTATGACAAGCCTGTGTACCGCGCCGGTACCAGATACGAGCGAGGCCCTTTTTATTTTTTACATTGCTGCTGAAAAGGAGTTGTAGCAGAAAGGTCGTTGCATGCATGCTAGCTGTCAACCAACATCGCAACAAGCAGTAGAGTCTACTAGAGATGTACCGGTACATAGATGGTGCATTCTTTGACTCGGAGCATTGAATCAACAAATTATTTACGTGATTGACGCTAGTGGTAGTAGCGAGTGCCGGTGCGGAAATAGGCCGCTGCCTCTGCCTTTGGTCCTCGATAACAAACCTTTCAAAGTTTGGCTGCTTGGCGTATCAGCAGAGGTGAAGCCTGAATTGGCGGAAAGCGAAGAAAATGCCAGTCCGGTACCAGTTACACTGATCCAGGATTGACCAAATCGTCGCGTGCGCAGCAGTGATCCGTGCTTCATACTTCGTAGTCCTCTCAAACCTGCTCAGCCTGTCGTGGAATCGTCGTAGTAAATCCAGAGCGGGGCTTCGAGTCCTGACGGACGTGTACGCAAAGGTAGAATTAGCAGGCCGATTGAAGATATCTACATCGTAGCGTGCTGCTCCCCCCCCCCCCTCCCTTCTATCGTCATGGCTGATCACGGCTTTGAGGTGCTGTACAAGATTCTGGTGATAGGGAACAGCGGCGTGGGCAAGACGAGCGTCATGATGCGATACGTGGATCAGCAGTTCAAGCCCAGCATGCTTAGCACCGTAGGTAAGAACGCTGGTGAACACTGCCCTGGCCTGTTTGATTTTCAGTTTTTTTGATTTCACAGTAAAACCCGTGACTAACGACCACCACCCCTTGGGGCCAGAGAAAGCGGTCTTTAGTGGCAGGTGGTCTTTAGTTAGAGGTTTGCAAGGCACAATCATATGAATGTGAGACCGTCCTTGCCTGGCAAAGTGGTCTGTAGTACCAGGCTGGTCGCTAGTCACGGTGGTCTTTAGTTACAGGTTTTACTCTGCTGTGTTTCGAGGTTTGGAATGGGTTTGCTCCCCACACTGGGTCTCGCGCTATTCCGCCGACTTGACTTGACACTTGACTGACTCACTACTACCATCCAGAGCACATGAGAGGTCCATCGAACCTTCCACTCTGCAAACCTGCAAGAAAGCACCGCTCCATTTCGAGTTTGCTAGAACAAGAGGGCTTGTGCTGAGGTACTGGCTATGCGTGCCGTGTTCAGGCCCGCCGCACCGACTTTGGAGGTGGGGCGGCCATGGAAGGGGGGGTCGGGGCCCTCCCCTGGGAATTAAAAAAAAAAAATTGAAGCCAATTGCAAGCATTTCCGGGCATTTGGTGCCATTTCAGTGTAACTGGAATGAATGGCTTTTTGATTCTGCAACAAACCACGTTCGGGAACAAGGATTCTTCATTATTTGCCACGTTTGCACTGAGCTGCGATCATCACGCTTTGTTGCAGTGTGCTCCCAAAAAACCCAACAAAAACAAAAACGAAAACGGCCGAAAAGTGAGGCGGCTGAGATGGCCTTGGTGTTTGCATACATGACTCATCTAGGCAGGCCTGCCTGGACCAGTCCGGTTGGTCAGGTTATCACCGTACAAACTATCCCACCGCACCACCGACATGTGTTTGCTACTGTGGAGGGCATGTGTATCCACCATTTCGGTGCACAAACTGTATGAAAAGGCCACATTACTACCGGTCCAATCAAAACCTGCTTTCGACGGTCCTGTCTTTTTTTAATGTTTTTTTTTACTAAGTACACAACCTACTCGTCAGAAGGGGCGAAGACAAACAGAGTATGCAATAACAAAACAGCAGGGAGAGTAGGGGCTGCAAAGCAAGTCTGTGCTGGTGAGGCAAGCCGTATGGTCTCGGCGTTATCGTGGGCTTGCGCGTCTATGTGATGGGCATGAGAGAAAGATTATTGAGGGTCTCGGCAACAACACCGCTCATGCGCGCCAAACAAAGAAAAAGCCAAAAATGAATCGGTGAAATCAGCAATAGTTTCAGCTGTGAAGGACATTCGCGGATGTACGTGTATGCATTATGCTGCACGCATGTTCTTGCCGCACAACGCGCATGTTGATATTATTGCAGAAGGTGTACATGTGAGGTCACGAAGGGACGAAGTACAGCCGGTGTAGGCATGGGCCATGGTGCTTTATTCCATGTGTGTGTGTGTTTGTTTGTTTGTGTGTATATATATGTGTGTGTGTGTGTGTGTGTGTGTGTGTGTGTGTGTGCGTGCGTGTGTGTGTGTTTGTTGGTTTGTGTGTGTGTGTGTGGATGTGCGTATGTACGCATACGCATGTGTGTGTACGCATACACATGTGTGTATGTACGCATACGCATGTACGCATACGCGTGTGCGTATGTACCCATACGCCCGCGCATCCGCAAACACGTGTTTTCTCCATGCAGGTGTCGACTTCAAGACCAAGGTGATCTTGTGCAAAGGACAGAGGATCAAGCTGCAGATATGGTACGTGTACCGTGATGACCCTGACGTCTAGGCTTCTGAACCATACAGCT